CACGCCGCCCGGCGCGGGAGAGCTGTACGAGCGCGTCTGCTCCCTCCTCCTCGCGCGAGCGGACGGCGCGGACCCGCTGCTGCTGCTCGACGGCTTCAAGGGCGTCGAGAGGGTCCTCGCCTCGCGCCGGCTCGACATCCTCAAGCTCAACCTCGACGAGCTCCTCGCGCTGACAGAGAGGAGCGACGCCGACGCCGCCGCCGCCGAGCTCTTCGCCACCGTCCTCACCCGGCCGGGATGCGTGCTGGCCGTGACCGACGGCCCGCGTCCCGCTCTCATCTTCCTCGCGGGCGGCGGCTCCGCCTCGCTGCGCGTGCCAGAGATCCGCTGCGTCAACGCCATCGGCGCGGGCGACGTCTGCACCAGCATCTTCCTGTACCATGCGGCCGTGGCGCGCGAGGCGGGGCCGCTCGACCTCGACGCTGCGGCGTCCGCCTTTGCGTGGGGCCTGGCCGCCGCGTGCGCGCGCTGCCTGCAGGAGCTTCCCACCTTTGAGCAGGCGGCCGTGCACGCGATGAGGGAGAGGATCGTGATCGAGCGCCGAGGCTAGAGGGTAGAGCGCGCGCTCTCCCACCGCACAGCTTAACCTAACGTACAAAATCAAAAAACGCAGAGAGCGCGGGGAAACCACACCGCGGCAAACCCCATCCCGAACGCCGCCTCAGATGAGACCCCTCCAGCAGGGGCGCGAGCGACAGACCTTTTCGTTCCGCACGATTGAGAAACCAGCCAGGAGGCAGTTGCGTTCGTTTGTCTTTCGCCCCGAACTTCGCCATGCCGCATGCGGCATGCGCGGTCCTCGCTGACCCTGCCAAACTCCCTCCCCGCCGTTCGCGGCTCGGCTTGCGTATGCGGAGCCGGGAGCTTCGAGGACATGCAGGCGTCCCACCCCCTCCGGCCATCCCCCCCCCGGCTCCCAAGTGCGCGGCCGCGAGCGGAGGCCGCGACGTGCTGCGCACCCTCTTCCGCGCTGCGCCCGCTCTCGGCATGGCCGTCGTCCGCCGAGATCACCTCCTCTTCGCGTCGCAGGTGCACAACCAAGGGCTGGCCATCTCCGTATCCATCATGGTGGAAGCCAATGGGCCAAAAATGGAGTGAGCGCCCCTCCCAGGTGGCCGGAGGGTACACCTCGGGTCGGCGTGCTGGGGGGGGCGCCGGTGCGCAAGCCCACTTTCCGGGCGACCCCGAGGGGGAGGAGGCCGGGCGAGTGGCAGCAACTCACTGTTACCGTAGGGTGCCGAACTTAAGGTAAGGTAGCTTGAGTTAGGGAGCCCTTTTCCTCTGACCGAACTCCTGTTCTAATGTGCCTAACTCCTGCTACCCACCTCTCGGTCCAGCCCGGCACCGGCACATACGGGCCCCGCGGCCCGCACCACTGAGGCATCTCCCTCCGACGCGACGAACACCTACGCTCAAGGGCCACGTCAGGCGCGGGAATGCCACAAACTCGAGACACGCTTTTTGGGACATTTTCGACGCTTTTGTCCCATATACTCGCAAAACATGCCACTTGAGCGTAGGTGTTCGTAGCGTAGGAGGGAGATGCCTCAGTGGTGCGGGCCGCGGGGCCCGTATGTGCCGGTGCCGGGCTGGACCGAGAGGTGGGTAGCAGGAGTTAGGCACATTAGAACAGGAGTTCGGTCAGAGGAAAAGGGCTCCCTAACTCAAGCTACCTTACCTTAAGTTCGGCACCCTACGGTAACAGTGAGTTGCTGCCACTCGCGCGGCCTCCTCCCCCTCGGGTCGCCCGTG